ATGATGATGATGATGATGATAATAATAAATGTTGCCTATTTCTTTCTAGGCTCGTTCCAGTGACGATTCCAGTACTGTCCGCATGAAGCGAGCTTCTTTAGTCAAAGCAGGAGAAGCCCTATCGCCTGATGCATTCGTGCAGGTCCTTGATAGTGAAAGCGACACTAAAGATCCATCCTCTACTAAAGGCCCTCCCACCCTACTCAGCAAACTAGGTGGCAGAGCTTCTCAGTATCAGAAAGCTGTTAGTAAAGCAGATGGACATCTGAAGAGACTGGGCAATGAAAATGACCAAGAAAGGTGAATGCACGTGGTTATTTCGCACTTCGAAACACGTATCGAGCACTTTTCACACATTGGTTTGTTCAATGGCGGGTCAAACACAACAATTTTAAACGAGGCTGCGTGGTAATTTCAAAGGGATATTCACATTTGTAACTCGCAAYCTCGATTAAATACTTTGTGTTTTATCAGTAAACCAATGTGTACAAAGTGGTCAGTGGAATGTCACGAGGGTAGCTGCCTGTCGTTAACATTGTGTATTTGGGTATTACCTAGTCTCCCCCACAGCCGCTTTCAGTGTCGTGACGCAACGCTTTCTCCCCTGAGTAGCTACTCAGGGGAGAAAGCGTTGCGTGACGACACTGAAAGCGGCTGTGGGGGAGACTAGGTATTACCCTGCTAGCAGAAATTCCTTTCCGTCTTTCTATTTTTGCCTGTGTCTATTCGCTTTACTGGCTTTTGCTCTTTTTCTTCTCAATCACGACATCTGCCCAGACTCGAACATTTTCCCCTTTAAGCGTGCCACAAATTGTCATAAAAACCTGGATGCAATAGACCTCTTTGGTTCGGGCGTAATGTTTTCCCATTTCAGACCACGTGTATAAATTCCCTTGAGAATAAAATAATACTAATAATATAAAATAAAAAAATTAACCGAGTGCAAGCGTTAAACAAATAAATAATACTCTAGCCAATGACACGTGGTCTGAAATGGGAAAACATTACGCGCGAGCCAAGGAGGTCTATTGCGCACACATAACATCGCAAAACTTTCCCTGGCAAAAATTGGTCCCGTAACATGCGTGTGAATAACTTTATGGCTCAACTTATAACTGGTCATGTTGGTGTGTAAGGTAATACTGGTGACGACGTAATTTATACAGACGTATGGACATATATGTAATTATTACAGAGTTCGTATTTGGGTGGATCTTGCCAAAACGGCACGTAAACAACACGTATGGGATGTGACGAGGGTGGCTGCTCGATTCTGCTTGCTTTATGACAACGGGCGTTGGTCAAAAAGAGGAGCTAGCGGAAGGAGTAACATACAGTCTGATTCTGATGTAGCAGAAGACCGGTCTGTTGTCGGGACAACCAAGTCTCCTGCACCGGAAAAACGTGTTTCTGGCGATTCAAACAAGCTCGACCCCACAGGGATGAAGTTACTACATCCTGAGGGCATGACACCATTCAAGAAAGAGCAAGATATCATAAGGAACCTGGCGGAAGTACATTTTATTTATGCAGAGGTCAGTATGTACACATCTTCTCATTTCCAGAGCCTTTGTTGGTTGCTTTTTTCGCTGTTGTGTCGTCTAAGCAGAAAACAGTCGCAGGTGGAACTTCTTATTTCCTTATTCCTTCAGTCAAACATTTTTATGAACCTAAACCAATAAAAACCAATTGAAGCAAATGGGTCGCTACCATACACTGCTAAACTGATCTATTTGCTTAACAAGGTGCTGGAAATTGTCAGTAACAGTTACAAATAAATTGTGGCTCCAAAACCGTTTTCATATAATAACACTTAGATTTTAGGAGAAAAAAACGAGTAGAGAAATAAATATTAGGAAGCATTCATGGCCTCGTCCAAAACGGCATTTTCCTTTATAAGCGATGTTCTGTGAAACGAATAAACTATTTTATCATATGACCGGTATCTGCCCGGGCGCGCGCTCTCAAAAAAACCTTCGGGAAAATGGTGTGAGCAGGGCCGTACGGCTTTGAGCGAGCAGGACGTACTATGTACTTATTGACTGAGTGGGAGGGCCGTACGGGAAAATATTTGGCTCGAGGTCCGTACAAATGACCGAGAGCCAAATATTTTCCCGTACGGCCCGACCTAACTCAGTCAATAAGCATTTTATCATATGACCCTCACAAAAAAATCAATAAAAAAATAAAAGAAAGAAAGAAATAGTAAATAAAAGCTAAAAAAGAGAAAGCGCGCGGATTCGAGCAGGGCCGGACGGGTTTTTCCGGCCCGCTTACGTCRACCCGTCCGGCCTCCATCACGTGACTTTTTCCAATGGTTTTATTGGAGCGCGCGAGCAGGGCCGTACGGGTCATATGATAAGGATTCTTATTCAATACTAGTAAACAACTTTTATTCGTGAAAAATTTGCTTGATGAAACGTAAATGAAATCTTAAACTTCTTTTTTTTTTACCAGGGATTAGTACATCTTCTAAGAAAAGAAGGAGTTCAACTTGGAGATTTTCCTGTACCTCCTGAAGAAACGGTTAAATTACGACCCAAACGTTACGATGATCAACAGCTGAACGTTCAAGAGCAACCTGAATGGGTGACATATTGGTAAGGATCATTCGTGTAGTGCTGAGTGTGGTTACGTATTTGGTCTTGAATATATCCCAATTTATCATATGACCCGTATCTGCCCGGACGCGCGCTCTTAAAGAAACCTTTGGGAAAATGCCGTGAGCAGGGCCGTACGGCTTAGAGCGAGCAGGGTCGTACGCATCCGTACGGCCCTGCTCGAATCCGCGCGCTTTCTCTTTTTTAGGTTTTATTACTATTTCTTTCTTTCTTTTAATTTATTATTTTTCATTTCGTGAGGGTCATATGATAAAATGCTTATTGACTGAGTTGGGTCGAGCCGTACGGGAAAATATTTGGCTCTCGGTCATTTGTACGGCATCACAGTCAATAAGTACATAGTCTTTATGTATCATTTACCCCCAATAACATTTTTCCCGCCTCTCGTCAGATCAGATTTTTAAAGTTTTGCACAGTTAAAATACATCAAACTAGAAGTAAATTAATCAATTGAAACACTGGGGTCCTGGTTTAGCTGTAATATGTTATTCAAGTGTACAATATTTGTACGTAAATTGCACTTTCTCGTAAAGCAGAGTCTTGTTGAATCAGCGTTACATTTTGATAGACAGACATATTTTTATCATTTGTTGAGTGGACGCGCATGAAGAGTTCTTGTTAATGTGTATTGAAGAAATAGAAAACGCGCGCGCGTGCTGTGTGCAGTCATAAAGCACGCGGGGGTTGGCAGAACACGAGAGAAGTATTAGGAGAAGCACGACGCGTAGCGGAGTGCTTCTGGACACTTCTCGAGTGTTCTGCCAATCCCCAAGTGCTTTATGACTGCACACAGCATAGCAAGCAAGTTTTTTATTTCTTTTATAAAATACAAATTACAATAATAGATAGGAATGACGCAACGGAAAAAGCGCGCGCGTGCAATGTGCTCTCATAAAGCACGCGCTCCAAACCAATCAGAACGCGACATTAATAACAGTTATTTTATAAATAAAAATAAAACGGTATTGGGTTGAATTTGACTCTAGAATAAACCCAGAAAAGGGCGATTTCGCTTCTATTCAAAGAACGATTTACGAACTATATGTTATCGATAAGACCCAATCATTTGTGTTAAAGCTCATTTGTTTTAGAGCTATGAGAGTTTGAACAAGTAAAAAACCTAGGTTCCATCTCACGTATCTGGATATTTCCGAAAACGGATTGTTTCTTTAGAATTCTGTTTCCAATAAAATTATCGTGCACACGTAGTTTTTTGGGATCGTCTTTGAACGTCCACACGCCACGTACCCGTTTTCGAAAAGTTGCGTTTTCAAGTGGCGTATTCACTGGATACGTGTGGGCGGAAGACCAATCCGCTAAGAAAAAAAAACTGTTCAAAGATATTCCGATGCGTGCGGACAGGGCCTTATTTTCTTGATATTTTATCATCAAAACAGTTGAATGACGTCATCACGATGAGTACACGCGCGCAACAGTCTTGCGTAGAAAGATAGGATGCGCCATTTGTTTGACCCATTTGTTTTTTTAATCTTAAGTTAAAATCCATTCTATTGGGTGCCTTTTCATTATGTTTCATCCATTGGTTGGTCTATGCATCATTTACATTCTAATTTTCATCTCTCTTCTTGCACGGCAGCAAATGGATTGAATCATTATCAGCAGAAGCCATCTACTCTTTTCAGCGTGCGGCAGAGTTGGGTGTAGAATTGAACGAGCCTTGGCTCATTTGTAACTCGGCTGTGTACCTGTGGAATTACACCAACCATATTCTTACCCAAGGACGATTCRAAGAAATCGTTCCTATCTATACACCAGTATTGGAGGCTATGAAAACTACAGGCCATGCTGGGTAGGTGAACATTTAGCACAGAAAATACACACGTAGACTAGAACTTTGACACACTACATTGTATGGTGTAACAAATAAATTGTTAAATTGCAACGCATTCAGAATGCTGCCGCACGCTAAGTGTCTTTGACTCCCGTTTTTCACATATTACTCCTGCCCTTGCTGATGTAACATATGGTGTAACACACTACAGTATGGTATGACACACTACAGTATGGTATGACACACTACAGTATGGTGTAACACACTACAGTATAGTGTAATACACTAGAGTATAGTGTAGCACACTAAAAAAGTCGGTGAATGTTTTGAAATGTAGATAATAAGTATATGATGTCAGCACCGAAGACATTTTCCGTCAAAACGCGCAGACGTTTAGGAAAATTTTCTATATTGTTGGAGTATTGTTGTGACCTTTTGGTAATTTCATTGCCGTCACCCATAGTGCAGTTCGGGCGTGGTATGCAACCCGCAACAACCTGTTTTAAAATAGCTGTATAATGGTTTCTGGTACAATCAAAAATGAATTGCCGTAATTCACTATGACGTCACATCAAAACAATCTATTGTTTAAACGTAAAGGATCATGGTCGTCGGAGGGGGTCAAATCAATGCAAACTAACCGAAAATTGTTCTAAATCCCGTATCATTCCACGAAGAGAAGTAGAATAGCCAGCAAACGCTCAGAATATTTTTTAGTACATATTAACACACATTATATCTGAAAACCAGGCCATTTTAGATTAAACTGCTTCGCTAGGAGCAAATTTTGTTGAATTTTCTATTGGATTTGACGATTCTATCCCCCACATAAACAAGCAGTGACGTCATAGTGAATTAGGGCAATTAAAGAAAAGCTCGTTTTTTCATTTTTTAATGTTTTTATTTTCATCATTTGTTTTCTTTATTTCTCCATTCAGTGAAACAGAATTGATGTGTAGGTTAAGTAATGCTATTGCACAGGGTCTAATGCAGCCATGGATCCCAGCATTACCTACCCAGTCTGATACTACAGGCAAAGAGAAGACAGACAAGCAACAACCTGAGAAGCCAGCTAAGGGCAGGCAGAGTGGAAAAGGAACAAAAGGCGTTTCGTCTAAGACAAATGTTCCGAATGTTTCTGTTGACCCTGAAGGAACTGGAGATCTTAAGAAAGCTGTTGATGTAAGTATCAACTAACGTAATACATTAAGTTATATGTTATGGAGAAGATAGGAAATTCAGGGCTCATGATGACCGACCAAATTAGTTATAGGTCAGTCATACCAGGTTTCTCGCTCAACGTTACTGGTCAAAATTACCGACAAGGCAAAGATTTGACTGGACAAGTTCCAATAGTCCCCTTCACGGTTCCCTGCGCCATCTTCAAAGGTAGCCGTGCCTTTGAATCGAAGCGAGACGAACGGTGAGCTTGCAATGATAGAGACCTTTTTTAACGCCTTGGACAATTATTCACAGGTAAAAGATGAAAAAACTTACTGACGTTTCGGATGCTAGTCCTTCGTCGGAGTAAGAAAAAGGTTCAAAGAAACAAGTTTAATAGTTTCGTCTTTTATCCTGTTTCCTTTTTCTTATAGCTGTTGGAGTTTATGATGACTTTAACAAACGGCAACGATCCAAATAACTTGGTTCCTATTGCTTTAAGACACCCTCTGATCAAAAGCTGGGTCTTTTGTAAGCAGTTATTGAGCCAACCAATCCCTAAGAATCTTGGCCATGATGATGAGGTAGGATAAGAGTTCATCAATACGCAGCTTATTTTAAAACGCTTTTAATTAACAATTTTTCGCCGAAGGCGAAGTGAATATCGGGGAATATTTACCGAGACGCGATGCTGAGGCAAATAATTGTTTTAGTATAAATGCACATGTGATTCTTTCAAAATAAATAAATAAATAAAATAAAGAAAATAAAGAAAGAAAGAAAGAAAAAGAAAAAAAAAGAAGATAAAAGACATTTTTTCCGGTAACAGCAACAAAGCGGCTGGTCGTCATTTTGAATTATCGCTGGAGGTGACAATCGTGTGATAGTGTGAGTTTCTCGACCAATCAGCGCGCGAGATTTTCAGTAATCACCTGTGTATTTTTACTAAAACGTTTTAAAAAACGTTCCAAAAATTATAGTCAACTTAATCCGCTAATATAAAAGTGGTAGGTTTTTTACACTTTTGTCCTATTTTTAAGTGTCAGGAATTAAGACACAGCTATTTAAAAAAAAAACATTGTTTACTAAATTGTTATTGAAATGTTATAAGCAGCTGTACAGCTTAGAATCATGAGTGAATTGTTATTACATGAGTGTTATGCCTCCAAATGGACTCATTCGACGATACGGCGGCCATCTTGTCAGGGAGCAAAACAAAGCAAAGATGACGGAAAACATATAAATTTTCTTGTGTTTGTCTTTCTTTTATGGTACATGTAAAAGATATCGACGTGCCGTGTTAATTAGTTCATCTTTCGTTGTCTTCTCCTATGGTGAGCTGTTAATATCAACCTACGTCGTGACTGCAACAAAGCTTTATTTGCCGCTTGAACTCCCCATAGTACCTTGCGATCCAAGATGGTCGCCGTATCGTCGCCGTACTCCATACACGACTTTCAAAAATGGCCGCCAAACTCGGTATTTTGTGTCAAAGTCATTCATTCCAACAATTCGAGTTCTTTTAAGCGTCTTTTGAATTAAGGGAGAATGACTTTGACACAAAATATCGTACTGAGTAGAATTTGTTTACTAATGAGGCCTTACTTACCTCGCTTCCATTCAATTGTTCCTAGTCCCAACCGAGTTTTGCGGCCATTTTTGAAAGTCGTGTATTGGGACAGGCTGTTGAACCGGGAGACAATACCCAGTAAAAGCTTTGAAACGCGAATGTGTTCTGAAAAACCATAATCTGTGGGACTATTGTCAATGTGCTACGGGACTGATAACCGGGATTCTACACTACCTTCATGAAAAAAGTCATACAAGAGAAGGGACTTGATATAATAATATATTATTGCTTGCAGAATACTCACAGTCAAGGGCCGATGTCGAAAGCCTTATGTGCAGTTGAGATGGTTTCTCTACAGGGAAATGGTTTGCCAGAACTGCAGCCATGTCCAACTTTACCCGAGGTAAACACGTTTCATTGCAATTCTTCGTTTGCACGTTACGTCATTGCGGCCATGTTGGTACCATTTAACAAAAGATTTCTCATTAGCATCCATTGTTAACGGTAACAAGATGGCCGCCATTTGTCTTTTAACTCTCTTGGGAATGCTTGCAACCCATCAATTGATTTCGTCATTAGATAGACATGGTTCGTACAAAAAGTTTCGTTGACTATTCGAAGTTTTATAACAGTTATTTCGAAGAAAAGAAAAAAAAGAAAAAAAAGTAAAATGTTAATGTCCGTTGTGGGCCACCGTAAATTTGTTATAAGAATAGTTTTGACATAAAAATTTCAAAAAATCAAAAATATTTTCAAATAACTTTGATAAGGCGCGGCACTATTAGTGAACTCGGATGCGGCAAAGTTATTGATGTTTGTTTGCTCAATAGACCTCTCGCTTGAGAGTAATGTTTACCCATTTCAGATCACGCGTCATTCTCATAAGAATAAGATACTTTACTTCAGTAGTATCCATATCCATGCGTCTTCTCGTGTGCAACCGTTAAACAAAGAAGTAATACTCTAGGGAATGACACGTGTCTGAAATGGGCAAAACATTACGACCAAGCTAAAGAATTCTATTGTACTTTTCTGTCGTACGCGTTTTTCTCGAATGCGCCTCAAGGAAATCTTATCTTACCGACCAAACCATCTTAGGCATCCATAACAGAATCTACGCTTTCTAAACACTAACCATTGATCGTCTGATCTTCTCATTTCATGTTAGATCTTTACTAATTTGCCTTACAGATTGTGAAAATGGTAGAGACAAGTACGTGGAGTGATCGTTTGGTTGAACTAGAGATTTGGAGTAGACTGGCTGTACTCGCTTATAAAAACGACAATCATTCTCTTGTTATGCACTGTGGAGAGAAAACTATGGCATTTGCAGCGAGTGACCAATGTTTAGCCAACAAGCATCCCAAGAAAATGGACAGGTGAGAATAATTCCTTAGCTAAAATATTGATATTAATAATTTCGATTTGTCTATGGTCTTGTGAATGTAAAAGTCGAAATGATGGCCGAGGTTGGGCCCCACTATGCACGGCCGTACCTACGCAGCCTCACTTCGTGTTCTCTCGGGTTACAAACTTCAAGGTGCACTTTTAAACATGCATGAAATTCGATATAGTGGATCTAACCAAAATGTTTTTTTTGTACACCAAAAAACAAAACAAAACAAAAAACAAAAAAACAAAAAACAACCAAAAAAACAAAACAAAACAAAAAACAAAAAACAAAAAAAAAAACCCAGCACGGTTACGCCGATAAATCCTGTAGGCAGGTTTTTATTTTATTTTATTTATTATTTTTGCACGCGTATCTCCTTTATCTAATTGGTTCTTGTTGGTAAAAAATCAACAACCTCGCTACGAGAAAGTATTTTTGCACTCCAAAATATCTCTAACTTACTTATTTTTTATTGGACTTTTTGTTGGAGCTATTCAAGAAAAAATACTCTAATGTCATTGCAAGAACAAAAATTTAAATTCCCCTAAAGCACTTCTTCAGTTTGAACTTTCATCAAGTAAAAGTACGATCACATTTTAAGGCGGGATTGCACGGAGTAATTTTCTCTGCAACTTGTCTCGCAACAGCGCTGCGACAGAAGCTGCAAGAGTGTCTACACGGTTCAACGGAGACGCAGTCCTTACCAAATGTAGAAACGAACTCTACTTTTTGCAACGATTGCTGCAACTTGTCTCGCAACATTTTTTCAAATTGCGCTGTAGGTTACACGCTGCAATGCTCCGTGCAACTTGTGTCGCGTTGCGAGACAAGTTGTAGATAAAATTGCTCCGCTTAATTGCGCCTTAAAGAATGCTTCATAATCAAATCCAATTCAATATGGTAAGCTAAAGATGATTGCTTTGTTGTACAGTGTATTCAAGCACAAGGTGGTGGTCGAACAAGAAATGTTGTACTTCGCTAGTGTAGTAATGGGACAAAGTCTAATCAGGAACATGCAAGGAAGGAATGAAATACGCAGAGACGCTCTTGTTTGTTTTGTCAATGCCTGCAGGTAAGGTTGTCTTCCGCACCCTTGCTAGTTATGATTGCATCGTTTTAACCAATATCAATAGAAACTTGCTTGATGGAACAACTTTTGCGAGGGAAAAGTGAAAATGAGTATTTTTACGATTTCCACGCAAATGCGTCGGCAGAACTTGTGTTTCGGCATCATTATTCTGATGATTGCATCCACCATTGATGCCCAAACGTCAAGTTTTAAGAAGTGTTATATGCGTGGAAACCGTCAAAAAGACTCATTTCAATGTTATTTTAACTTAGGGGAAATAGGTCGTCTTTTGTGCCACTTCGCAATTTTTGGCGAGAAAGGAAACAGAAAGACCAGGAAACCAGAGGGGAAACCCGGCCACTAGGCAAAATGTATAAACCTATTTTAATAAACGTTGTCATCGCCAAAGGCAATAGGCGATAAGTCATTCCGACATGGAAATGGTTTCGTGGAAAACAAATAACATTGAATCAGTCTCAACGATAAGGTCCATGTTCTTGACGAGAATAAGAAGCAGAAACACAAGTCATTCCAGCTATTCTTGGATCTTGGAATGACCTATTTCTTATTGCTTTTCGCCTATAGTGTCGCCTTGACTATCACCTTTTGGCGATGACGTTTTTTGAAATTTGGTGTATCTTAAACTGAAGTCAGATCCTCTACAGCTGGGGCGGTAATTTAGAAGTCGTTTAACGTTCGGTACCCATGCCACTTGGAAACAAAACCATACATGAACATTCCAATTCCTACTTTCCAAATTAGGTTTGGGCAGCAAGCAAGTAATTACGAACTAGTTATTACGGCTGCCCGCCACTACTGGAATGCTATAAAGCCATTTATTAGTGAGCCAATAGAAAGAGAGCTTTTGAAGGATCCACTGGAAGCTGTTCTTGGATGCATAGCTGCAGTGGCGGAAAAAACCATGGGTAAAGAAGACGAGGTGAGAACATCAGGGATTAGTTCGTTTGATTYGTGGTCTTTTCTGAACCGTCAATCWTCTTGGGCTTATGAAAATAAGTCTTCGAACACGCACGCTCTGCTTCTGCTATCACAAGTTTTTTAAAATCTAAAATGTCTCGAGTATATTCCAAGGAGATTCTCAGTGCAGTTTATCCTCTTAAACCTCAGGGTATTGTGCTACAATTTCCGGCTTGCTTATGGACTTTGAATCCCCAAGGTTTTGGCAACTTACCGCTTACTGTATCTATGAACCAGTTCGATTTTGTATGTAATATATACAGTATGAGTGGCCGTGTTGTATCAGATACAGTCAATTCAAAAAACGTTGTCGTCGACCGGCTCAAGCCTACGCGACTGGACCGAAAGGAATATGGGTAAAAATCACTGAAGCGGTTAAATATTCGTTCTGAATTTATTGTTCCCGCTAGTAATAAGATAATAATGGCCAGAAACAATCCATCAAATGCATGTATTTGGGTTTAGAGAAAGGAAAACAAAGTAGTTATGATTCAGTTCACAATTTCGAAAATATGAAGGCATTAAGAAAAAGTCTCCTTCGACACTTCCCGCTCGCCTACGAAGGTCCGTGCTGTAAACCAGGCATAACTAGTCAGATAAAATTATGGAGTCAACTCGGCTTCAATGATTGCTACCCAGAGTTCCTTTCGGTCCAGTCGCGTAGGCTTGAGCTGGTCGACGACAACATTTTTTGAATTGACTGTATACAACCACGAGGCGTATCCGAGTGATTGTATATCTGATACAACACGGACACGAATACTGTATATGACTTATCAAACGYMTAGGTTAGTTCCTTTGTGTTTCACTAAAATTTTCAAAATTAAAGTGAATYTGGCCAAGAAAATCCAACTTAAAGTTTATGCAAATGAACGCAGTTTTGTATCAGATTTACAACACTCTTCACGGTCGTGATTTCTGTTGTGTTTTCCTCATGAATTATTAATGAGTTTGATAAATTTAATTAAGTAGTGTTTAAAAAACGAGTAGGAGTGTTTTATCAGGTATAAAAGCACGAGGCGTAGCCGAGTGTATTTATACCTGATAAAACACGATCTACTAGTTTTTTGAACTGCTTAAAACACTCATGTTCAATTTATAAGATTTTGGTTCAACTGGAGCCACCACACACGTCACGAGCATGGATTTTTATACTTCGATAGAGATTTGACGTCACGGGCATGCGCAACCAGATTCAATAGAAGCTCCCACACGTTGGATATTGCGTGCTAAGGCAAAGACAGGCACGTTAGTCGAAGATCTTTAGGGTTGRCTATGRCCTTGACGAAGCTCTATGTCTTCATCTAAACTTGGATGCATACTTCATTCCTGATGAAGTCATCCTCATAGTATTCGAGTGGTCTTTATAATAAAGATCACATGTGTCTTTATATAAAGACACATGTGTCTTTATATAAAATCACTTGAATACTAATGAAGAGGACTTTATCGGGTATAAGGGTTCATGCACGTGACGTGTATGGTGGCTCCAATTGGACCATAAGCTTATGAATTATTAATGAGTGTTTTAAGCCTTAATAGACATTACACTCATTAGCATATTGAAAGTATAAACCATAATTTAAATTAGAAACGCATCACTCAAATTAAGAAGTATTTTACCATTCAACTGTTTACTTCATGTAGAATCAGTACTAAAAGTATTGTCGAAGGGTTCATGTAACGGCCTTGAGATGACGTTATCTTGCTGTTCTTTCAGGAAGAAGATGAAACTGATGCACCAACTGAGACGAAAACTGCTTCAAAACCAAAATCAGTCAAAAGTAACAAGGCAGGAAAAGACAAGAAAGACAAGGAAAAGTCCTCTGACAAAAAGAAAGACAAAGCAAAAGGTACCTATTATAATTTGTTAGAATTCGAATTTTAATATTCTCGTTCACAGTTCCCTGCGCCATCTTGAAAAGTAGCCGTGCCTTTGCATGAAGCGAGACGAACGGTGAGCTTGCAATGAGAGACCTGTTTTTAACACCTTGGATAATTATTCGCATGTCTCTATCATTGCAAGCTCACTGTTCGTCTTGCTTCGATGCAAAGGCACGGCTACTTATCAAGATGGCGCCGGGAACTGTGAAAGGGACTATTGAGAAGCATGGGTGACTTATCGGTAAGTACGATCGCCTTTCACCAAGGCGAAGCGGTTCGCATTCCCTGACTATGCGTCGTATGTAAGTAGAGTTGTTTGCTCGTTATGTTGTGTGGTTTTCAACAAACATTCTAATCGAATTATTGTAAATATGGACAGGAATCAAAGCGGGGGGGGG